CTCTCTCTCTCTCTCTCTCTCTCTCTCTCTCTCTCTCTCTCACACACACACACACACACACACACACACACAAGCATTCATCATATTTTGTGATAATTGCTTCCTTGCCATTGTGCCTTATTGCATTTCCTCAGCATCTATAGACTGTATTTTGGCATCACAGTTCTTTAATAAATGTTTATTATATGAGTCATAGTTCCTTGGTGCTTGTATTTCAGTCTCAGGTTTTTCTTTTTGTTTGCTTGCTTATTTGCTGATTGTTTTTTTTTTTTTTCAGTGCCCAGGGGCAGGTAGAATGCCCAGGGCCTCAGACACACGGGGCACACACTCTACCGTCATGCTGTACCCCCAGCCCGCTTCTGTTTTTAATCCCTGGCCTCTTCTTCCTTGGGCTGAACCACTGGCAGTTTTGGTTCAGTGTGGAATGGAGGACTCACTCAAACGAAATGTAATTTTTTTTCTGAATTATTGTTCTAGTAGGAATAGTGTTTCAGATCTATCATTTCTGTTACAGGTACAGGAATTGTTTTCAGGAAACACTGCCATCATCACCTCCGAGAGGCAAGTTAGTGGTTGTTATTTTCCATTTACAGATGGGCAAATGGAAGCCTTCTTTCTCATTTACCAATTACTCCACCCAGAGAAATGTCTGAGGAGTTTTATGGGCTCCCAAGGTATGAAAGACGGGTTCTCACTCTGAAGAAGGTCGTGCTCCTATTTGAATGAAGAGACGTTTGCACGTGCCCGCAACCGTGATTCGGGAGCCTAGGATGTGAAGTGCGGGAAGGGTCCTAGCAGATATTCCAAATGGACTATGAAGGGCGAAAGAGCGTTGTCCGGCCCCCAGGATTGTGGGCGTCAGCGTGCCATTTGAGATGAAGAGAGTCTGTGCTGTTTGTTGTTCGTTTGGCCTCTGTCGCTTTCTCGCGACTGCTGTAACAGATTAGAACAAACTGGCTGACTTACAACAACAGAACTGGATTTGCTCACCGTTCTGGAGGCCCCAGGTCTGACATGAAGGTTCGGGCAGGGTCAGCACCTCTTGAGGCTTGAGCGGAGGGGAGATAATCTGTCCCCCGCTTCTTCCAGTTACTGATAGCCTCAGGCTTCCTTTGGCTCCTGGCCACTCCAGCCCGAGCTGTTTCTGTGGTCACATGGCCTCCTTGTCTACTGTGGTACAATTCCCCTGCTACTACTCCCTTGTAAGAATGTGTGTGGCTGCACTGAGGACCCACCCAGAAATGTGGGATGAGCCTCTTCTCTCATGACCCTCAGTTGCAGTCTTATCTTTTGTCACAGGATGTAGTAAGTACCCTTGGGTTCTGGAGATAGGCAGCGGACATTTATGGGGGGGAGGGGGAAGGAAGCCACCATACTGTTCTCTGCCCTGGGCTGTATTAGATAACCTGTTATTCCCATGCTATACCACCTGGGGTCCATTGCCCTCTGGCTAGTCCTTGTCCTCCAGTGGGAGATATTAGGAAGGATCAGAGAGTAGGAGGAAGACCCTGAGGTTTCTCTCTTCTTTCTTTAGCAGGATGCTTGTGAAGCTCCCGGGAAAACCATGTTCTCGACAGTCCCTGTTCTTTCAGGCTTTCATTCCCCCTTCTCTGCAGCCCTGGCTTCTTCCACTGCTAACCTGTGAGTGCCTAACACCCTAACCAAAACCCTAACCACCCATCGCTCTGCCTCCTGTCATGTGAAAATGTCCCAGCCATCTTATTTTCAAAGTCTCAGTTGACTGTGTCTTCAGGTTCCTGCCATGATCTGGGTTGATAGAAATCTCAAGAGGGCACTGGATCTGGCATACAGCTCGGCTGTCCCTGTGGGCCCTCTGGTAGTGAAGTGCTGTTCCTCTACCCCACTAATGTCTTGCTGCCGTGCCTCATACCTCTGGTGGCCTTGCTTCGTGGTACTTTCTATTATCCTTTTTTCTGCCTCTCCGCCTCTATTACCCAGTGGTGTCTGCTGCCCCCGACTGTGGCCATCATCTTCAGTGTACCGTTTAGGTTCTGCCCACAACAACAGCTGACTCCCTCGGGTGCATCTCATACCCTGTTCCTTAAAGGGGGCCGACTGGCTTGGTCGACAACAGTTTACAGAAGACCTGGAGCGCCAGGCTTCTGCTGTTGTTACGGAGGCACCAGAGAGTGGTTTTGGGAGGATCTCTGGGCATCATTTTCCCAACAAGGAGAGTTACTAAAGGTTTTTGAACATGGTGGAGCAAGATAGAATTAGTCTTAGGACTACTCACAATTATTGTGAAAACAAAGATAAATTAAAAAGCAACTCTAATAGTCTAAATGAGAATAATGGGGACCCAAACCTGGGCAAGGGGAAGGCTCCTGTGAGACACCCAGGAAAGGAGGTATGCAAGAGCGAGGCCAGTTTGAGTTCCTGGCTTTGAATTTTTCATTTCTTTTTCTTTTTTCTTTTCTTTCTTTCTTTCTTTCTTTATTTATTTAGCACCGAGGACTCTTTCAATAGTTTTCTTTTCTTTTCAAACAAACTGCGCATCTTTATGGGAAATACGCAAATATCACTAGGTATACTGATAATGACAGTATGATTTTTAAAGATTTGTTTTTATCTCTCTGTGTGTGTGTGTGTGTGTGTGTGTGTGTGTGTGTGTGTGTGTGTGTGTGAAGGACATTATTATCAGCTATTACATTTGGGAACACACTCAAGAGAATACAAGAAGCAGTGGTCCTACGAAGAGAAAGAACGTGAACTTGAATATTTTATTTAGTTCCGGCTTCCTAGACAAACAGAACTCAAACTAAACACAATGCCAATGTTCTATTTAGGAGATGTAATCCCGGGGCAGTGAGTGTGAGAGGAAACGGGGAGCAAGATGACGGGTGTTCTGCCAGAGGTGTGAGCAATCCACACAAAAACTGGCTTTGCAGAATGTTACTGTGCTAGGTAGAGGATGAGCCCGTATGTCAGGTAAGCTCCCGGGAGGGGGAGACCAGGAAGCCATCTTCCTGGGGCCTTCCCCTCTCCTGTGTGCCAGTGCTCCACGTTCATCCACCTCGCCTCTCTGCCACTGTTAGCTTCTTAGGGAGCCACAACCGATCCTGTGCAGGGCAGCCTTAACCTTGGTCGAGGACCACAGAGATGCTAGACACCTGCACCAGTCCCCGCTGAGCCTGGTGCCTCAGGGCAAGCAGGGCAGGGCGGGAGGGGAAGCAGCTCTGGGTCGCAGGACTGTATGGGCGACAAATGGAGCAAGTCACGGGCAGTCATGGCGAGACAGAATGAGCAACGGAAAGTTGGGGGGATGACAGAAAGGGACTCGGGCAAGCCCCCGAGTCATGCCTGATACCCTGGGAGAGGAGGACGAGGTAGAAAATGCAATTATGTTCAACAGGCACTTCGGAACTCAGAACTGGAGCCGCTCCAGAGAGACAGTCTTTTGAGGGCTCCAGAAACAATAGCACTTTATAGTCCATATCTGATTAATCCTAGACAGCATTGACTAATGAGGTAGGAACGTGGGCTCTGGAGCCAGGCAGAGATGTGCTTAAGTTCCCCTGTGTGTGCAGTGGGCAGTTTACTCACCCCCTCTAAGCCTTGGTTTCCTCCCCTTTATATGTAGATGGTCATAACAGTCAGTTCATGCTGAGAGCATTTGTCTATGCTCAGTCTGCAGTAGATGCTAAATAAACCACAGCTTCGCTGTCTCTTAACCTCACTCTTAAATGGTTGTGTGACTTCACCAATATTCTCCTACCCAGACAAACTCTCCTGTGCAGTTCCTAAGTGTCTCCTGCATATGATGAGGTTTTCTAGCTTGAGTCCTTCAATTATTTTCAAGGGCAAGTGCCACATGGGGTCATGTGGTCATGGAGTCCCACGAAGGCTAGTAGCTCCCTTCAAGGGACACACTGGGCCCTAAGAAAGCAGCATGTTAACCCATCCCCATTGGTATACAGACAGGACATAACTGAAATAGCCATCTGCTCTTTACGCCTTCAAAGTGAGAAGGCACCTGGGTGCTTTCAAAAGACACAGAAAATACAGGGGCCACATGAGGAAAAACGTCCTTGTAAGACTTTAAAGGTTCTTTTTTAATGGCTATCAGTGTGTGCCTGTGTAGGTCTGTACACCATGGGCATGCAAGTGTCCACAGAGGCTAGAAGAGGGGGTCTGGTTCTCTAGAGTGACCGGCAGTTGTGAAACCTTGATATGAGTGGTGGGGACCCAACATGGATCTTCTGCAAGGGCAGTATGTGTTCTTAGGCACTGAGATACCTGTCCAGCCCTAAAACTTTAAAAGGTGATGGGAGGATGGATGCTAATTATTATTTATTCCAAATATCAAACTTTTGTTCCAATATCACTCCCCCCTTCAATTTTATAGACAGGATCTCACTATATAGCCCTGACTAATATGGAGTTCGCTATGTAGATCAGGCTGACATTGAACTCATAGAGATCCACCTGCTTCTGCTTCCAAATGCTGAGATTAAAGACATGAACCACCACACCATGCCCAATATCACCTTTTAAGTGACTGCCAGTCCTAATTTAAAATTAGTGACCTATCACTACTTTAAATTGTTTTGTCATTAGCACTACTTTTTTTGCATATAATTTACAAATTTGTTGCTTTTTCATCCATATATCCCAAATAGAGTGAAAAAATATTCATTTTAATCTCTGGTGTACCCCAGGTGCCTAGAACATGTCATAAGACAGTGGTCCTTAATACCATGATCATGAACCTCCTATTAAGACTTGGGTTAAAAATTAAATGAATTAGGAGCTGACAAGATAGCTTAGTGGTTAGGAGCATGCTCTTGCATAGGACCTATGTTCAGTTCCTAGCACAAATGATAAGCAATTCACACTTGCCTGTAATTCTGACTCCAGCAGGTCTGATGCCTTCACATGGTGGACATAAATATATTCTCTCTCTCTCTCTCTCTCTCTCTCTCTCTCTCTCTCTCTCATCCATCCATCCATCCATCCATCCATCCATCCATCCATCCATCTATCTATCATCCAACTATCTATCTATCAATGGAATGCATGTATAACAATGACCCATAAGATTATATGGTTCGGTGACATGGCAGCCATCCGAGCTTGTGTAAGAAGACTCTGCAATGGTCTCATAAGGATGAGATTGCTTCTCTACCCTGTCTTAGAACATATCCCTTTGTTATTTTTGGAAGGAATGATCACACTGTTTGGGGGTGAACAAAGTTGGAGTCTGCTTGGAGATTAATTCCCAAAGAGCTTCCTGATAGGCATGTGAGGTGCTATGTGTTCCCAGAAGTTGAATGGTCATAACCACCCTCCTACAATATTGCTTAAGGGATTGATCAGCAAACTCTTTGTTCCCCAATATCTCTAACGTTAATCTTCAACTGAAATGTAGGTCAAATTATCTGAATTAATGACTTTGACCAACTCCTGATTAACTGCTCGTGAACTCTGTGGCAACATGAATTATCTATCATGACCCAGGAGTCCTAACCTATAATCAGGATATATACAGAACTAATAACATCTACTCTAGATCAGGTGGGCAGCTATTTTCAACCTACGAGGCCAGCTGCTCATCTTCAGCATGGTACAGATAACTAAATGAAGTTAACAGAGGCCCCAGATCCAGAATCAAATAGATGGTACAGATTTCAAGCCCTCCATTCCCAAAGGCTATGGTTTTTCTAGTATCTCCTTTTAAGCCTCCGATTTTTCCTTCATAATATGTAGCAACGCTATTTATGTGCAGAGATGCTGTGACAATTAAATATATGTAAAGCAGAATTCTCAGCAGATGACAGCATTCACTGTGGCTGTACTTTAGGAATGATAATGAGTCTTTTCCCTTGGGGAACAATCATGAGACCTCTCCGGGGAGAAAAACAAGAGCCCTGACTTAGTGGATGACAGAAATAGAGTCTATAGAGGTGGATGTGTTGGAATAATCATGTCTAAACATCCAACTTTGAAACAAGTTGAAACCCTTACTTAGGAGTTGACCAAACAGATATGATCGCCTAATTAACCATGGACTTTCAGCCTCCAAAACTATGAATCAAATAAACTTCATTATAAAGTATCCAACCTCCTGTATCTTGTTACTGCAATAGAAAATGAATTAATGCAAGGCCAGAAGCACCCCATAATCAAAAATATCTGTGGATATTGCTAACTGTCCATCTTGGGACACTGGACTAGAGAAAAAGAATCAAAGGCGATGTAAGATCTTAGCAGGGGCTGGGGGATCTAGCTCATTTGGTGGAGTGCTTGCCTAACATGCTCAAAGCCCTGGCTTCCGTCCCCAGCAGGACACAGACTGGGGATGGTAGTGCACATCTGCAATGCACTCAAGGGGTGGAAGTAGGAGGATCAGGAGTCCCAGGTCATCCTTGGCTACACAGGGGGTTCACGGTCAGCCTGGGCTACAGAGGACCTCATCAAAGAGAGAAAGCAAGCAAGACAAGGAAAGAAGAAAGAAAGAAAAGAGAGAAAAAGAAAAAAGATCGATCTTTGAGAAAAGGGAAAACTGTAGAAATTTTTATATGAACTTAAAGATATTATTAAATCATTGTTAATTTTCCCAAGTCTGAAATGGTATCATAGTTATATTGAATGTCCTTATTCTTTGAAGATGTATGCTGGATTATTTTAAGTTTTATTTTTATATTAAATTTATATATTTTATATTATATGTTAATATATAATTAATATATTTCTAATATATTAAATTAAAAGTTCAATATTCAACTTATTTTCAACTGCTTCAATGGATAAAAATGTTGACTCATAGGAAGCGATAAAACAAGGATGAAAAGAATATAAACAATAGCTGAACAGAGATGAAAGGTATGGGTCATTCACTATATTTTTTCAAACTTTGTGGAGTTTAGAATCTTCCAAATAATAAGCTGGGGTTGGGGGAGTCATCTCTGCTTCATGACTCCTTCCTAACCTAATAACAATAGAAGGAGCAGGCTGCCTTAAATGAATCTGAGTTCCCCTTTGGAGTTGCCTGAACAATGAGCTAGCTCAAACCATGTGCATGGAACTAGACTGAGGCAGGGGGTGGCCTGGGGCCGAGTGTAGGGGTCTGGAGAACTGTGCACAAACTCAGCTTCCCAAGAGATCACTGGCTTCCTGTTCCTTGTGTGATATCCCACCCAAAGTCTAAGTGCTGGGTGATAGAGTGCCATGGAGCCCCCACAGCTGCATCAAGTACTTCCACATTCCCAAGCCTCTCCAAAGAGTCCCGGCCAGCTGGTTCTCTTTGCAGACCCCTCCATTTCCTAAGGGAGAGAGGCTGCCCCTCATTGTGTATGATAATAAACATAGCCTTGTCTCTTCTGCTCAGGTCAGACCCTGGTCCCTTCTTGCTTTCTGCCTCTACGCTGCCTCTGAAATCTAACACTGGGCAGGGGATGTTGGTTTTCCAGGCACCTCTGGTAAACAAGCACCAAAATCCAGGATGCCCAGGGCCAATACAGTCTGATTATCCCCTTCCCTAAGGAGGTGGCTCTCATTCCTGTGCATATAAAAGAGAGAGAAAGGGGGGTGTAGCACAAATCTTAACAGGTCTTATTAATAAAAACAAACCTGGAGCTGGGTATTGGGGTGAATGCTAGAAGATCAGAGAAGCAGAACAAGCCACAGCCACCTCACCTTGCCAATTCCTTAGCTGATCCTGTTTCCTCAGAAAGGAAGCCTCTGAGTCCTTATCCAAATGGATCTCAGCTAAACTGCTTCTCAAAAACCTGAAAGCTTAACCAGCCTAGTTCCTGGTTTTCACGCCTTATATACCTTTCTGCTTTCTGCCCTCACTTCCTGGGATTAAAGGCTCACTTCTTGGGATTAAAGGCATGTGTCACCATGCGTGGCTGTTTCCAATGTGGCTTTAAACTCACAGAGATCCGGATGGATCTCTGCCTCCTGAGTGATAGGATTAAAGGCATGTGTGCCACCATTTTCTGGCCTCTATATCTAGTAGCTGTTCTGTTCTCTGACCCCAGATAAGTTTATTAGGGTACACAATATTTTGGGTAACACAATACCACCACAGGGGGGAGCATGGAGGGGTCCTTTAAATGGGACATAAACCATTCTCTAGCCAGATAATTATCCAAGGAACTATGGAGGATGGGGTCTCTTTTAATGATACTGGCTTTGTAAGTTTTTTCTTTCCACAATAAAACCCAATTGCTTGGTTTTGTGTGTGTGTGCGTGTGTATGTGTGTATGTGTGTGTGTGTGTGTGTGTGTGTGTGTGTGTGTGTGTGTGTGTATGTGTGTGTTGCATGTGTGAGCAGGGAGGCCAGAGGCTAATGTCTTCTTTGATGACTCCCACTTACCTTTTGGAGGCAGGGTCTCTCACTGAACCTGGTGCTCACTGGCTAGATGGGCGGGCTGTGAGCTACAGGGATCTATGACGCCATCTCCATCCCCTTAGTGCTCCATTCCCAGCTCTCTTATGTCACTTCTGGGGATCCAAAGTGAAGTCCTCATGCGTCTACCGTAGGCACCGAGCCATCGCCCCAGCCCCGTATTTATTAAAACGGGGTCCTGATATGTGGTCCACATTAGCCTTGAAGTCACAGCAGCTCTCCTGCCTCAGCCTCCTAGATTCTGAAATTACTGACATATGCCGCATACCTAGAATAATTTCTTACTTTGTACTATGTGACACAGTAGAATTCGAATCAAAGTGTACTGTGGAGAGACCTGACTACAGGACAACTAACATTTAAAACACAGGCAAGCCGGGTGGTGGTGGCGCATGCCTTTAATCCCAGCACTCGGGAGGCAGAGGCAGGCGGATCTCTGTGAGTTCGAGGCCAGCCTGGGCTACCAAGT